CACACTAAATTGCAACATTGGTGTGATGTCGTCAGTGACCAAGATGCGATGCAACGCATTTCGGAGCATGCGCTGGCTTCTAGTGGCGGAAGTGCGCTCCTTTCTCAAGCCCCTGCTTGAGAAAGGAGTGCGCTTCCACCACTAGAAGCCAGCTCATGCTCCAAAACGCGTCTCATTGCATCTTGGTCACTGACGACATCATGCCTACGATGACGTTGTGGTTCAGCGTGCGTTCCAGCCGCCATCTTTAGGAGTATGTGCATGCCGGCCTTCTCCACATCTGTCTCCCTCCTGAACCACGCTCCCTACCATTGAGATGCGGGCGTTACAGGCACCAGTGACAGCCGTTCCACATGGTGTTTCTACACCACAATACCCTACATGCTTTTATTACTCTATAAACATGTGAGTGTTCCTACTTTTTATTTTATATTAAAGTGGTCTGCTGCACTTAGAGGCGCTTCTTCTTCTCTCCTTGCTTGTCTTCAGGAAACTGTTTGTGGGCTTTTTGTGCATCATCTTTAGAAGAGGCTTCCTTCTGGGACAACAATTTGATGCAGTGTGCGGCGTATGGTCTGAGCACTGACAGGCTGACCCCCCCACCCCTTCAACCTCTGCAGCAATGCTGGCAGCACTCATACGTCTATTTCCCAAAGACAACCTCTGGATATGATGCTGCGCACGTGCACTCAACTTCTTTGGTCAACCATGGCGAGGCCTGTTCTGAGTGGAACCTGTCCTGTTAAACCGCTGTATGGTCTTGGCCACCGTTCTGCAACTGTTTCAGGGTCTTGGCAATCTTCTTATAGCCTAGGCCATCTTTATGTAGATCAACAATTAATTTTTTCAGATCCTCAGAGAGTTCTTTGCCATGAGGTGCCATGTTGAACTTCCAGTGTGACCAGTATGAGAGAGTGAGAGTGATAACACCAAATTTAACACACCTGCTCCCCATTCAAACCTGAGACCTTGTAACACTAACGAGTCACATGACTTCGGGGAGGGAAAATGACTAACTGGGGCCCAATTAGGACATTTTCACTTAGTGTGTTGAGTTTTTTTGTACTCACTTTTGTTGCCAGCGTGTTTTAGACATTATTGGCAACAAATGAGTTCTCACTTCCCCTATGAGATGGGTACCCCATGAGTTTGGCAAGGACACAGGGGCCCCATGATCCCCTATTGCCCGGGGCCCCATGAGTTGTCAGTCCGCCCCTGCTACATATACACATATTACATATATTACATTATTATTATTATACAGTATTTATAAAGCGCCAACAGTTCGCTCAGCGCTGTACATTACAAAGGGGGACAGAACATGCGACAGTACAATAACAATACAATACAATACACGAGGGGTTCGAGGGCCCTGCTCTTTCGAGCTTACACTCTAGGAGGGAGGGGATAGTGGTATAGGAGGAGATATCTGAGGGGGATGGAGTGGTAGGAAGAGTGGAGGAGGTCGGCAATTAGCAGGGGGTGGGGTAGGCTTCCCTGAAGAGATGGGTTTTCAGGGTACGCCTAAAGGAGAGGAGAGTAGGTGATAGTCTGATGAGTTGGGGCAGGGAGTTCCATATATATATACATATATATACTGTATACTTTATCTACTACTTATACATATATTATCAACAAGTGAAAAAAACAGCAGCTTGCAGAAAACCTGATATATAAGGTCTTTAAAATTAATTCATATATATTCACTGCAGCACTTTAAGGGTTACATGACATGCACATATCTCACATATATACAGGTATATTACACATAAAATTCTACATACACATATAATATTCCATCACCTTGTACTACTCTGTCTTGTTTTTTTCCCTCTATGGCACCCTGAATTTGGCTGGCAGGGGGCCCAGTTGGAGAGGGGCCCCTCCCTGTATAGATGTAAATTCAGATCTCTCATTGAACACAGATATCTTGGGTAGAAGTGGCAGGGCGTTGTTCTATCTCCATACCAGCTCTGGTCTGAGGTCTGTGTACATTACAGATATTTGTCTTTTTATACACTCTGAGAATAGGTGGTTTATCTTTCAGGGAGAAGGGTCCTTCTATGTCCTCCAACATTTTGAATTTACAGGGGATCTATCAGCAAGGTCACTCTGTAAAAGCAAAAAAGTGGTGGGTGGACTCCCAGAGAGCGGAGTGAGCAGCAGCACTGAAAGCAGTGTCCCTCAGCTAGCCACACCCCGCAGTGCAGCCACACAGTCGCGTACAAGATGTGCTCTGGGAGGACATCATATAGCGTTCACCCAGAACGACGAAAGTTCCACCTGGCCTATTGTAATATGATGGCCAGTTAAATATCCACATATGTTGACTCCTCCCGATTCTCAGGTATACTGGTTAGGTGGTCCCATCCATAGGGTTGTGTCCCTTTAAAAAAAAGAACCTTCATAGGAAGCTATGAAATAAGTAGGCACATAATTCAAATCGTTTGACAGCTAAAAAGTAAAAATATCCATCCAGCTTCACTGTGAAACAGATAAATCAAAATCTATTAAATAAACTTAAAGTATTTATTTAAGATTCTACTTAGAATTCCCAATGTTGCCCTAGGCTGTTGGGGCTTTTCTGAGTGAAGGATGTGTGAACTGAGTTGGGGTTAGTTTGCATCAGGACCTAGGCTGGCCATAGATGTTTCATTTCTTTTCAATCTAGTGTGATTAGACATTTTACCTCTTGTTGATAGTTATCACATTAGAACCACATTGAGTTCAGTGTTGTGCAAATGAGATGCTTGTCAACGAATGGTTAAATATCTCAGCAGCCAAAAAATGTATTAACCTACAGTATTTAGTCCTAGTATTAAAACTTCTTTAAATAAGCTTTAAAAATTTTCACTTTTCAGGCTAACAACATTTTCAGCAAGTATAGGAAATACCTTGCCAGAAATGTAATGTCTTTGTTACTTTCTGTGAATTGAAAGAAAGCACAAATATTCTTATCTTTATTGTGTAAACCAGCGGTCTCCAAACTGTGACCAGATGTGGTCCTTTGCTTGCCTTTATCTGGCCCTTGCAGCATTATTCCACCAACTGACAACAATGACAGGGCACCATTCCTACTACTGATACCATCATTGGGGCACTATTCCACCATCTGACACCAATGATGGGGCACCATTCTACCTACTGATATCATCAATGGGGCACTATTCCACCATCTGACACCAATGATGGGGCACCATTCCTACTACTGATACCATCAATGGGGCACTATTCCACCATCTGACACCAATGATGGGGCACCATTCCTCCTACTGATACCATCAATGGGGCACTATTCCACCATCTGACACCAATGATGGGGCATCATTCTTCCTACTGACACCATTAATCACCTCACTGATATCAACAATGGGACACTATTCCTCCCATTAAAACCAATGATGGGGCATTATTGCCAGGGCATTTTCTGCTCCCACTGGCCACAGTCCGGTCCTACTAAAGCCTGAAAATCAGTAAACTGGCCCCTTGTTTGGAGACCCCCGGTGTAAACAATGCTCACATCAATGAAAACTATGATAGACACTACATCTAAGGACTGGTAAGCTGCAATATATTACATTTTTTGGTTTAGATACAGTTTAACAAACCCTACAGTATGCACAAGCTTCCTTCTCAAGAGTTTAATGTAAAAACCTAATAGAAGATAATGTAAATATCAAATAAAATTACAAAAATTATTTTAGCCTCCAGGTGAAATCACCATTCATTAGATGGGTCCTGTTTTCACTCACTTTCACATTGTTGTTTGTTCATTCTGTGTTTGGCATAGCTTTCCTTTTTCCTTTGTTTGAAATAAACCTAAAGCATATCTAACTCTAAATCCAAAAACAAAAGTATAATATATTGCAGCATACCAGTCTTTAAATGAGGTGTCTGCATTGGTTTTATTTTTTCTCTTAATTTTCACCTGCTATTCTTGTGATAATGCATTTTCTGTGCCTGAGTAGCTATATTTACTCCTCCACTATATTTATGGAGGTTTGAGAGGGCCATAGTTGTGACCCAGGCTGGACTTCCGAACATGTCTTCCTCTCTTCATATCCATTGAGGATGGCGAGAATAGTAGTTTACAGCAGAAAGGTAAAATTGTTTTCCCTTAACTTACATGAGATGACAAGGACACTGCTATTCTGGCAATGTCAACAGGTATTTCTGTAAGTGCTAAAAAAATTCTTATCCTGGAAAATGAAAACTAATGTAGCCACCACATTTAAGGATTAGTAAACTGCAATATACTGTTACTATTTTTGCTTTTGAGTTCAGATGAGCTTTAATACTAGTGACAAAGCTTTTGCTACTGATAAATATAACCATGTTTTATTGTCAATAAGTCTGGTGGACTGCTTGATTTAATACATTTTTGCTCTTGGTTTTAGGTAATCTTTACATGTAACCTTTACATTTATGTATAAATAGATTTTTTGCTACACCTTGGTGTGCTAAATTCTGGGAGTTGGTCACTAATAGCACATCTTTTGGGAGTTAGCCAATACTAGTACAGCTTATGGGAGTTGGGCAGTACTAACATAATTTCTGGGAATTGGGCAGGGCTGGCACAGCTTCTGGGAACTGAACAGAGTAACAATTAGGCACAATAGAGACATGGAAGCTATACGCAACAGACATCTTGTTAAGGTCTCAGCATTTTGGTTTCATAAGCAGTGTTCCTATTCTTCCCCCTACCCCTTTGCAAACTATGTAATTTGTAGCTGTAACTTTTAACAAACTTATCTTAACTACCTGCTGACCGCAGATAGCCGAATGACGGCTGCACTGTGGCCGGCCAGTTCTGAGTGGACGTCATATGACGTCCTCCCAGAACGCGCTCTCCTGCGCGCCCCAGGGGGCGCGCACCCGGCGATCTCCATGATCGCTGTGTCCTACGGACACAGCTGATCACGTGATGTGGTAAAAGGCCAATCACAGCGGTCTTTTACCACGTGATCAGCGGTGTCCAATGACACGCTGATCAGAGGGAAATGCAAGTGCCGGTTCTCGGCTGCACTTTCCTCACGCTGTCAGATCGTGAGGAAAGTACTGCCGAGAACGGGCAGTTGTCAGATGATCAGTGCCCTGATGATCGGTGCCCAGCAGTGCCACCCGCAAGTTCCGACCACCTGTGCCCAGCAGTGCCACCCGCAAGTTCCGACCACCTGTGCCCAGCAGTGCGCCCACTAGCTCCGCCCACCTGTGCCCAGCAGATCACCCACCTGTGCCCAGCAGTGCACCCACCTGTGCCACTCTGCAGTGTCACACACCTGTGCCCAGAAGTGCCACCCACCTGTGCCCACCAGTGCCACCCACCTGTGCCCACCCACCTGTGCCCACCTGTGCCACCCACCTGTGCCCACCTGTGCCACCCACCTGTGCCCACCCACCAGTGCTGCCCACCAGTGCCACCCACCAGTGCAGCCCAGCAGTGCTGCCAGTCAGTGCCACCAGTCAGTGCCCAGGGGTTGTGCCAGTCAGTGCCGCCAGTCAGTGCCCAGCAGTGATGCCAGTCAGTGCCGTCTATCAGTACCCATCATCAGTGTCACCTATCAGTGCCGCCTATCAGTGCTGCATATTAGTGCCGCCTATCCGTGACACCTCATTAGTGCTGTCTATCAGTGCCGCCTATCCGTGCCACCTCATTAGTGCTGCCTATCAGTGCCCATCAGTGCTGCCTATCCGCATCAGTGCCCATCAGTGCTGCCTCATCAACGCACATCAGTGAAGGAGAAAAAATACCTGTTTTATAATAGAAACAAAGACACTTTTTTTTTTTTTTCAAATTTTTTGCATTTTTTTTTATAGCGCAAAAAGTAAAGCGCCCAGTGGCGATTAAATACCACCAAAAGAAAGCTCTATTTGTGAGAAAAAAATGATCAAAATTTCATATGGGTACAATGTTGCATGACCGCGCAATTGTCAATCAAAGTGCGGCAGCGCTGAAAGCTGAAAGTTGGCCTGGTAAATAAGGGGGTATAAGTGCCTGGTAGGCAAGTGGCAGCACTAATGAGGTGTCACGGATAGGCGGCACTGATAGGCAGCAATAATGAGGTGTCATGGATAGGCGGCACTGATAAACAGCACTGACTGGCATCACTGCTGGGCACTGACTGGCGGCACTGACTGGCACAACCACTGGGCACTGACTGGTGGCACTGACTGGCAGCACTGCTGGGCTGCACTGATGGGCACTGGTGGGTGGCACTGGTGGGCACAGGTGGGTGGCACTCGTGGGCACAGGTGGGTGGGCACAGGTGGGTGGCACTGCTGGGCACAGGTAGGTGGCACTTCTGGGCACAGGTGAGTGTCACTGCTGGGTGGCACAGGTGGGTGCACTGCTGGGCACAGGAAGGTGCACTGCTGGGCACAGGTGGGCGCACTGCTGGGCACAGGTGGGCAGAACTGATGGGTGGCACTGCTGGGCACCGATCATCAGGGCACTGATCATCGGTGCTGATCCCTGCTCTGACAACTGCCGGTTCTCGGCAGTACTTTCCTCACGCTCTGACAGCGTGAGGAAAGTGCAGCCGAGAACCGGCAATTGCATTTCCCGGTGATCAGCGTGTCATGGCTGATCACGTGGTAAAAGGCAGCTGTGATTGGCCTTTTACCACATCATGTGATCAGCTGTGTCCGTAGGACACAGCGATCATGGCGATCGCTGGGTGGGCGCCCCCGGGGGGCGCGCAGGAGAGTGCGTTCTGGGAGGACGTCATATGACGCCCTCCCAGAACTGACCGACCACAGTGTAGCCGTCATTCGGTGGGTGCACTGCTGGCTTCTGCCTTCTTAACTTCTTTCTTTTATTTTTCTGTTACTTTATTGTTCTCTTTATGCCCGTGTAACATCTTTTCTGTAAATATTTTAAGTGCACCATTTTGACCTTTTTAGTAATAAACTTGTTTTGCCTCAAAACAAAGTGTTTTTAACACTACTACAATCGCTCACTATTACACGGATTAGGCTTAATAAATATTAAAGCAAAACATGATTTTTTTAATAAGTTCTGTTAGTATAATAACATAAGAATTGTCAGAATTGCAAATCATATTTAGATCATATTATAGCAAGAATAAAGCATCAATACATCACCGGATATTGTAGCATCACCCGTTGCCCAACGATTGGGGGACTCAGCAATCAGCAAAGGGGAAATCCGGGAAATCACCGCAAGGCACATCTGCCGCGTCTTCAATGAGTCCCCAATTCCCCTGGAATCCCCCTGTCACGATCGTGAGATCGCCGCCACCAAAATGCGACAATCTCACGATCGCGACCACCAATACGTCACGATTGCGGCGTCAGACCCCAGACCTTCTCACCAAACTCGTGACCGAAGGACCAGCCGATCCAGACCGTGATGTGACGTGCGTAACAATGCCACACCCAGCTGCACCCTACACAGCGATTTTCCAGCTAATGGATTTCAATCTGTGCCGGCAGCCTGGATGCGCTTGTTACTGGGTCAGGTTAATTACGCAACTAACCCTTCACTGCCACCACCCCTTTTTGTACAGAGAAAGGGGGAACTCTCTTTATCAAATATACACTGTAATGGTTGAAAAGTCGTCTGTCCAATACGGTCACCGCAGGCCAATTGGGCAGAGGATTAAACAAACACAGTAGCATCTCTTTAGAGGCAGGAATTCATAAATTGCAATTAAGCACTTTAGAAACAGTTTAACACTTTCAGAAAGAAAGATTTATTACTAAAAGAGTCAAACAGGTGCAATAAAATATTTACAGAAAAAGATGTAACTAAGATATATATATATATATATACACACAAAGAACCATAGCACAGCAAAGAGATATCAGAGAGGAAGTTAAAGGGTTAAGTTACTTGCCAATTAAGCCTTAGCCCTAAGCAGATCCAAGTTTCAGAGCAAAGGGTCTCCCCAGGTGGTATATTGATGTTACAATTGGAGATGTCTTCAACTTCACTTTTTAGGCCTGCTAGCCTGTGTTTTAAAGTCCCCCAGCAGGGGGGTGGCTCTGAGTAACTGACCAATACTCTGTTTAGGGAGGGATCGTCGGGCGGACTCTGAATTAGAACCAACATCTTCATAATCCATGATATGAAACATAGGGGACAAACTGACCTGAGGAATGCTCATTTAATTCTGTCACCTAAGCTACTAGGTCTTATGAGGTTACAATCTCCTCAACTCCTGGGAAAAGCTGCCTTATCTCGGTTATGAAGTGAGAAATTACACAGGTCCTTGGGCAGCTAGTCTCTGTCTGTCCTGGGGGGCTTTGTAGCTCTGGGCCCCCTGCTGCTCTACCTGCCAGTGACACTTTTAACACACACACATCTGTCACTGTGCCTTTCAGGAAGGGAGGGGATGGAGAATGAGAAATGAGAGACACAATATATACTCCGTACCAAGATCAAGGTGCCTACAAAATGGCTGAACTGCGTACTCCACTGTGTTTTGCGCAGTTTTTGCGACACCCCCATCTTTTATATACATAATTTGCAGTGTCCTTGTCTACTGCCATGCGCAGTAGAATCTGTTTGTGTAACTATTGTGACTATTAACCTTGACTTGTTTGATTATATATCTTGTAACTATAAATCCTTGACTGATTGCGACTGCACATCTGGTAACTATGAAGCATAGATCTAGCCTTGATAGATTTTAACCTTTGATAATGCTTGCCCTTGAAGGTCACTGATTTTTGAGACGGATGTCAGGATCGTATAAGCAAAAACTTAATTCACCTTATGCTCTGTCCACCACGTAACCACACTCCAAATCCAAATCCCCCCCTCTTATCCTGATAAACATATCAAAATGTTTCCAGAAATTTGCCATAGCAGTGCTGCTGTCTTATTAAAATGGCATTGCTAGAATGAGGATATATTAAGACTATTACTGTTACCAGCACCCTGACACATGACTTTCTGTGATCAAACGATTTTATCCAAATCAATGAAAAAATCTTTGGTTGGTGTTTTATCACTTAAATCTCTTGCAATTACCATTTTAAAGTTCCGTTTGTAGTTGAGCTCTCATTTGTGCTGATAATTTTCATTTATGTATCTTGCCAACAGTTATCATTCTTTGTCAGTAACTGCTTTTATTTTGTTGAATATTACTGATTTTCATTATATTATATTTTAATTCTAACTTTTTAGGACTTCTTTTCATTATGTTTTTCCAAACAGGACCGTAATTCTTAATAAAATATCTTATTGCAAACCCTCCAATAGGTCAGTCAGCTCAGAAACCAGTCTAAAAAGTAAATAAAATGAAAAGTAAATGTTTACTGACATGGGCCTAAGTACAATAGGCTGCATAAAGATTGGCACTGTGGTTGCGTTTCTTGATGTGTCAGGCCTCAATTATATTCCATTACAGAGCAGCAACTGGGTTAATATAGATACAGTTTAGTCAATCTGTGTAACATTGAGGGCTTGTTCACACCAGCAGTGTTGGGCTGTATTGAACTGTATTGCCCAATGCAATGCTTTCAGATCACTTGAAAGCGCTGATGTCTGCTGAGAAAAAACATGCTGCAATAGGCTTTAGTGCAGAAATAGCGTATCATTTATTTTTATTTATGACAGGTACTTACATAGCACTGTCAATTTACACAGCACTTTACATATTGTACATTCACATCAGTGCCTACCCTCAAGGAGCTTACAATCTAAGGTCCCTAACTCATGTTCATACATACACACATACTGGGCTAATTTAGACCCAATTAACCTATCAGTATTAATGGTCTGAACAGCCCCCTGTTTGGTTCGCGGTTCGAACCTAAAGAAAGTTCTACCGCGAACATCGAACATAATACAAGTCTATGGGACTCGATCTTGGAAATTCAAAAGTACCCATTTTGAATGCTTATATGCACATTATTGGCTATAAAAGGGGTATGGGGAATTGGGTACTGCCCTGAAAGACATGAATCACTGAAAAAAATGTTTTCAAAAAGTACTATTTTTAAAGGCGTAGTCATTTTTCATTGCTTAAAGTATAATAAAAAAAAAAGTAATTTAAATATCATGCCTGGGGGGTCATCTTAACCACTTGCCTATCGGGCACTTTCACCCCCTTCCTGCCCAGGCCAATTTTCAGCTTTCAGCGCTGTCGCACTTTGAATGACAATTGCGCGGTCATGCAAAACTGTACTTGTATGAAATTTTTATAATTTTTTTAAACAGATAGAGCTTTCTTTTGGTGGTATTTAATCACCACTGGGTTTTTTTATTTTTTGCTAAACAAACCAAAAACAACTGAAAATTTAGAAAAAAAAAAAGTTTTTTCTTAGTTTCTGTTATAATATTTTGCAAATAAGTAAAATTTCTCCTTCACTGATGTGCACTGATGAGGCTGCACTGATGGGCACTGATAGGTGGCACTGATGGGCACTGATGAGGAAGCACTGGTAGGTGGCACTGATGGGCATTAACAGGCATCACTGATGGGCACTGAAAGGCAGCACTCATATATGGCACTGATAGGTGGCACTGACTGGCACTGATAGGCAGCACTGACTGGCACTGTAAGGTGGCACTGACTGGAGCTGTTAGGTAGCACTGATGGGCACTGATGGGCAGCACTGATGGGCACTGATAGGAGGCACTGATTTGCAGCACTGATAGGCGGC